GGTGCTGGCTTGCTTGCTTGCTTGCTTGCTTGCTTGCTTGCTGGCTCGCTCGCTCGCTCGCTCGCTCGCTCGCTGGCTCGCTCGCTCGCTCGCTCGCTCGCTCGCTCGCTCGCTCGCTCGCTCGCTTGCTTGCTTGCTTGCTTGCTTGCTATCGGCTTCAGGAGAACTCATCCGTAAGCACCCCCCCTCCCTCCCTCGCTCGCTCGCTCTCTCTTTCTCTAGGGGCAAAAAAAGTAGCAGTGTCCAGGCTACCCCCTTCGCGCGCGAACGCGCACCCGCGGTTCTTTGGCGGAAAGATTCCCCCGAGGGTTTCTTTCTGTAGGGCTCGGCTTTACATCAGCCGGAAGTGCGATCCCCCAGAAGAACCAGAGTAGAAGAAAAAACAACATTATAACAAAAGGATCGCATCCCGCTTTCGCACCTTGCTGCAACGCAACTACAAAAACTAAGGCTCGGGCCAACACAATATACTACAATGGATGGCAGTGTGATGCGTTTCGGCTGGTATATATGCCTAAATGCTCCCCCTCGATTGACTGAACGCAGGTATGAGATACGTCCAAAGCGTAATGTGGGAATATGTCATGCTTAAAAGGCCCGTGCGTGTCAGTGTAGGCCGAGCATGGCCGAGCTCGGAAAGATGGGGGCCTCGAGGAAAAACATGCTCCCCCGCTGCTTCGAGCAGGTGCTATCGTCTATCCTTGAGAGTCTTGAGAGGAGCGAAATTGAATTACAGGCTCTAGTTACTCTAGTTCCCCCGAATTTGACATCAACGGAACGGCTAACATCGACGGTGTGTTGAAAAGAGTCTATGACTGGTGGCCAAGGTTGGGCCGAATGAAAAAGAGGCTTACCTGCCATTCCGGGGTTGTGTGCACTGTGGCTCCAGAAGTGTCACTACTCCCCCAGGTCGTTGCATCGGTTGGGGTGTCTGCATCGCTCATGTCCTCAGCCGGAGGCAAAGGTGGTGTTTCTGCCATCACCTCCCCCGCCTCGGGAGAAGCCATACTACTGCGGCGTGGAAACAGGTGAAGCGCGAACTCCACGAAGCCATAGAATGCGGGGGAATCCGGGTGAATGCCAAAGGACTCCTGGAATACTACCACAGCAACTTCCGGCACCCACGGAAGCAAAATATGAACCTAGCGAAGGACATCCACTCGGTGACACCGCTGATGGAGGAAGCGGTGGACCGCTGGGGCAACCTAGCCACCAAACCTGATCTGGAACGAGGCTGGCATCGAAAAGGGTGTCTTCTGCCCGCGTGTCGCCTTTTTTCAACAGCGGAAGGCGGGATATCCGCGGAAGTTCTATTGGCACAAACTCCTCGACGAAGCTGTGCCAAGCTTTAGTGTTTGCGACTGCAACCCCATCACACCGTATCTTGACCCCCCTGTGTGGTGGTGGAGGATGTCTTTGCTCAAGGCCATGGAATCGGCAGCGGCTATCCTGCCTCACATGCATCTTCCTCATTCCGGGGAGACATTTCCCTTCCCCACACGGCACATCCTGCAAACATGGTCCTCCTTGTTCTCTTCCATGATGTAGGGCAAACTTTGCTAGGCTGACAGTCTTGCCACTTCAAGCAGACCCACGCCAGCGGTCCCGGCCACAATCTGTACTGTGGCACTGCTTGCAGACCCACGGCTCATGGTTTATCGTTGTACTCTTGCGGTTGCGGTGGTGCAGGAAAGGATTGGAGCTGCGGAAGCGTCCGATCGCGGACCTGACCTCGAAGAGCAGCATCTGGAAGACCATTTGGGATGTGCGGCCGACCGTGCCCGGCAAAGTCCTGTCCAGGAAACTCTTCGGGGGATGCTCCAGTCTGTCTCATCTCCCTGACTTGCACACCGGAAAAGTCTTCACCTAGCCTGGAGCTAAGGTCTACGCCTCGAAGCCATCAGCGCCCAAATCTGCAGGCCTTCTCCCCAGATCGACAGCTCTGCTGCCAACTAAAGGCAGGGAAACAAAGCTGAACCGAACGGCTTCACTGCAGACTCGCTCAGCGGAACATGTTTTCGCAGGAGGGCACTCTACTGCTCAGATCCAAACGGACTCAAGGGCTCCGCTGTACGGCAATGGCAAAGGGAGCGCATGAACACCAAAGCGCTACGGATGCACTACAGTAGCAGATAGTTCACAGCAAAAACTTCAACAGCCTCTCGAGATAGTCCAATATCTAAATTACTAAATGCGCTTTCTGTGCTTTCTGTATGTGTATACTGTATACATGGACAGACAGACAAACAGACAGACAGCCAGCCAGCCAGGTAGGCAGGCAGGCAGACAGACAGACAGAGAGAGATAGAGATGAAGTCAAGGAGCCGTGCACTTATTGGGACTGCTGCAATGAAGCCCCGCGCTTCCCGCTGCTGTTCTGGTGCCTCGGCGCTTTCGGCCACCGCCGCTCGCAGATCCAACGCTCCTGTTTTTGGATCCACGCGACTGCAGTGCTCAAAGCGTCGGTGGCCCGTGGTTCTGGGACCCTGGCAGCTGCGGAGCTGCACCAGCAGCCAGGGCCTGCGTGGCAGCCACGTCCTGAAACATGCACAGACACTCAGAATGATCCTGGACGGTGTGACACACGTTGACCAACTGTTCGTTCCGTGGCCTGTCCTGAAAGAAATGGAAGTGGAACCGCATGAAGACCTTGGCTCATCAGCTACTCGTGCTCGTATGAACGCCGTAGTTGAAGAACAATGGGAACGCTAATTGAAAGCTGTATCGTCGAATAGTCTCAGAGAGGGGACAAGCTCATCCTCCAAGGAGAGGCAGTTCTTCGTTCGCAGCTCCCAAGCCTCCGGCATCGGCGTGTATCCGTACAATCAATCTGATCTCATCTCAAGAAAGTCTTGCTGCCTCCTTGAAAGCTCGCCATTTCTGGTTGTACGCGGGCTCGACGATATGCAAAGGTGGGCGTTCAATGCAAAGGGCCCCCTTGTGAGAAACGGTGGAAGGCTTTGGGGCCGCGGGCAGAGGGGTTGTGCAGCGCACCATGCACCCTGAGGACCTGTCCTGAATTTTCAGGCCCTTGTGCACAGAGATAGAGAGCGAGCCCTGAAACGCCTCACACATTTCGTCAAATTGCATATTCCGTCAGTATCCGTCAGCTCCACCCTCACAACTCGCACCGTGCCTCCATGGCCACGTGGCGGCAAAGGCCCTTGCAAGCCTTGCCGCCGCAGGCTCCGAGTGATCCCTCCAGTTCCAGACCGAAGGCTCGGACAAAGGCCAGGCCCGTGGAGATGCCGCCATGACCGCAAGTCAGCATGAGTTCTATTGAGTGTACTTCTTGCGCCTAGATCTGCCCCGTGCTTCTGCTTGTGCCTGTTGTTCTTACATAGCAGATCATGATTCACGTAGGTAGGGTATGTAGATATCTTGGGGATCCTACTGCTGTACTCGAAGCGACGTCCAGAAACAGGAACGCCCAATTCCCAATTCACAACACTACGTAAGAAGCCGTTCCGCTCTGAAGCCAAGGCTTCGGCAGCCAGCTGAAGTCACTGCCAGGTTTTGGACTCTTGCACGAAGACCAGCAAGTCTGTTTCGCTCTGTTTCGCTGACACTCCTAATGCTACGGCTTGTGGAAACGGTGTGAAACAGTCCACCCGAGATCCTGCAAACAGCCATGCAGTAGGCCCAAGTTCAGGCTATGTCAGAGTGGCGCAGTGCTGCACATGTGAGCCGCACGGGGTCTCAGGTCTCAGGGCTAGAACTCTCAAGCACGTGTGAGCTAGGGGCACTGGCAATGAAGCTCAGTCGTGAGACTCATCCTGAGTTTTGATTACAGGAACACGCATGACAGTGTTGTGAGGCGCTCGCTCTCTGGCTAAATTGCAGTCTCTTGCCTGTATCCAATCTAGGTGAACCACGATAGGCTGGTCAAGATCTCTCTGCCTCACAGGAGCCGAACAGGTCGAGCGGAAGCAAGGAGTGTCTAGCCCTAGGCTTCACCAAACGCCTCGCCACATGGAGAATGACTGTGATACACCTCGTTCACCTCGCGCCGTGCGCTGAGAAACCTGGTGTTAGGGCACTGGGCAGCGCATGCACCATCCACCCGCATCACTGATCACGAGCGTGACACTCTCGAGGGGTGACAACGGTTGGTGTCACAGAACCAGGCGGTGTCACCTCGCAAGCATAGCCATCCCCTTCGCCTAGAACAGCAGGCTGCACGCTTGCCGACGTCTTGGCTTAAGGCCGACGGCGTCAGGGACCTGGGCACACAGCCCGCACTGAATTTGGATACTGTATGCGTGCCACGACCGGAAAATGCTGCAGAATCGCTGAGCGCGCTACTCTGTTGCCGAATTCAAAGATGCAGTGTCAAACGCAGGTCGCCATTTCTCCTACACACCCGCGGGAAGTCTGGATGTGCAGCTGCATAAGCACAGGACTAGCACAGGACATGCGTAGACGGCCGACAATGCTTGGGAATGTGTTTTTCTTTGCAGCAAGCACCAATCAATGCTCATGTCTCTTTCGGAAGCTTTTTGGGAGCCAGTGGGCGAACAGTCGTCGCCAGAGTCTGCGTCTCACTAAACACCAAGACCTCAATCCTAGTTGTCAAGCCACCGGCGAGCATCGAAACATTGGATCACCCAGCCCAGCTGAGACATCGCAATGACATCGAGATTCGGAACGGCGACACTTGTGGGGATCTGAGCCCCATCATTTCTGTGCAGTCAAGGAAACCCTGGAGGCCCCCAAGTTCGTGTCACATATGACAGATGGTTGCACGATTCCTGTTTTCGTTCGTAGGCTAGCACGTTTTTTGCACATAAAGAAAGGGGTTGTTCGCAACACAGGACAGAAAGCTAGTTGGTCAATAAGGAGAGCCTACACATATTCAAGATTTGCCAAATACCAAAACCAAAAAAGCTAAAACAAACAAAAAGACTAGTCTCCTTGAAAGTTTGTTATGGTGTTTTGTTTTTTTGCGTTTTGGTGGTTGTTCTTTTGCGGGTTCGGGGATCTATTGCTCATACCTGCTTACACCGGAGTCGTTTGTTTGAGCTGCTTGCCCACAGTTGGATGGAGGTTTATGCCAACCTTTCTCCAAAGACTACAGAACAGTAAGTGGGAAAATAGTTGTCAATGCTTGAGAAGTTCAGCCAATGCAGTGCCACAAAATCGCAGAGTACCCATGATCTGCGCAATCTTTGGCTAATATCTGATACGCGAAAAGTGTGTTCGACGCATTTATCTATTCAACACCAAGCGGATATCGAATGAAAACTTAGCGATGTCTGAGATGATCATATATATGTATGTAAATCTGTATGATGATGCTGCTGATTGAAAGTCCTTAGACATAGCCGCCACACATACTAGACGATGGTCCTCCCCCCCTCCCCCCCAACCTACCATTTTCCTGCCTTTCCTACCTTGTCCTGCATTGGCTCTTTTGGTTTGTTGGGACCGGACCTCCAGCATTTTCACACTGCCAGAGTCGCGAAGCCATGAGAGGTTGCAATGTCTTGGGCCCGGGACCTCTGCACAATTTCGCGCCCAAAGAGTCCAATGTTTCAGGGGTCTAGGAGCCTAAAACCATGGAAGGTCCCAATAAAACCAATAAACAAAATGCTGGAGAGTCTCTGGGCAGCGCGGGCCTGGAGACTCCAAAACATTGGTTAATTGGCTTTACTGGGACCCTCCAGAGGTTTGGGCTCCCAGACCCTCGAACATTGGGACCTCTCGGCACTTTCGCACTCCCACAGTCGCAAAACCAGGAGATGTCCCAGTGCTTTGGGACACTACATCCCCAAAACACTAGGATCTATACACACGTTCCCGCTCAAAGAGGTCGAAAGCATGATAGTTTTCAATGCTTTGGGCCCCCATACCACCAAAACATTGGGACCCTCCGCACCTCTCTGCACTTGTGCTCTCCCATATAATGGCTAATTGATGTTCAGTGAATTCTGCGACTACAACCAACTAGGCAATCGTTTAACATTTCATGTTCACATAAACCTTAGGAACGTTTCTATATTGTACAGCGCTGAGTTCTTCCTGCTACTAAGATATTGTCAGTGCTCAGTTGTGTTCGAGCACCAAAGTGCTGAAACAGCTCATGCGTACATGTACTCAATAGGCAATCATATGTAACATATTCTTAACACCGGTGTTTTCGTAGTTTGACTGTCGCGTATCATTTGCACATAGCACTATAGCACTTGTCCAGGTACCTTAGAATTGCTGCTTCAATCATACTTATTATTGAGCATCAAGCATCTATTTGGTGGAATACTCGTTTGGTAATTGAGTAGTTATGGCTGCATGTTCGCAGGTATGTCGCTCACCGAAACTCCAATAATGAACGGGTTTTGTGCAGCGTACAGTTTTTACGTCGTGTTCAGGCGGGCATGACTTTTACAGGTCTATACAACAGCTCTTCTTTAAAACAATCTTGATGCCCCATTGATGTTCTGTGCGCGGTTTTCATGCTTATAGTATGTAAGTATCAGTTTAACAAAACGAAACCTGTGAGTATTCATTTTATACCCATCGAACATGTGATGTTCACATACAACTTAAGCAATATTCCATTACTTTCTGCGTTACTTCCTTGAGATCTAACCCAACAGCCATTTCATTGTCTTAATATTTCACAAAGATGTACACAAAGAAGTTTTCGTAATGTTCCAGTTTATGCATACTGCATTCCATGGCTTAGTCGCTAGTGAATACACTTTGTGCATTCACGTGTTTTTGCTGGTATCTCTTCTCAACGAAAGTGGTAATCACTACTCAGGAAAAGATAGCGCTTGACTGTTACGACGTGGTTGGCTTTCTGTCTCTTTGGTACTACTGCGCTGAGTAGCTGTTCCAGTTTTAATGAATGTTACATTTCATGAACAATATCTGAATACTGCATGCTGCCTGGCTTGAGCAGGAAGGCAGAACAGCATGAACCATTCAACAACAAATATTAACCTGATATTATGTGGGCATTAGTTCTAACAGAAGCACTAGCAGATGTATCGCCAATGTTTTGCGAACAGTACAATGAAAGATACTAACGCCCGTCGCCAGCGATGCACATGAAGCTCTGCAGACACACGCCAGTGGTATAAACACACCAAATAGGTAGGCACGTCCGGGGGTAGCATACATACATACATACAT